AAAGGTGCCCAGGATGGGAGATTCAGCCTGACAAAGATATATTTTCTGGTGAAACAGAGTATCTCTTGCACCAGATAAAAGATAACAAAAGTCAAAGGAAAAAGCTCCTGACGTACAGAAAGAAAAATGTCAGCCAAGACTAATGCTGTTAGCAAAGAAGTGTTAATCTCATATACTTAATTACACATGTGAATTTTCCTACAACGGCCAATGGCACACAAATCAGTGAAGGAAGCTGATCAAGAAGATATTGAAAAGAACAGAGCAACAACATGTAATGCTTCACAACCTTTCCTCCATCCTTGATGGAGAGGAAGTCAAACTGTTTCTCCATGCTGAGGTCGTTGAAGGCCAGGTTGATTCTGCTTTCAGGGTTGGTGATGATCAGCCACACACAGTGCATATTGTTTCCATATTCCTGAGGATAGTTAGGGGAGAGTAGCACGCCTGATGGAGTGGTGAAGTTGAAGAAACAGGAAACTACAGCAGCAACAAAGAGAAAAAATAGAGGAGAGATAAAATAAATGGAAAAAACTGGGCGGAATCTGATTACTTTTATTATTATAGGAGATCGTTATTTTATCACTTTGGCTGAATATTTAAAAGTCAATCTTTAGATTAATTTCCTACAAAAAACACACACATTTGTGAGTGGAAAACAATAGTCAAACACCACCTCAATGGCATTCCATTTGTTCCCTTTATATATGGTCCATCCCATTATCTCCATATTAAAACAGCAAACTACCACCGTAATATAGGCCCTTTTTTCCTTTTGCAGATTAGATAAAAAAAGGCTTTCTACTGTTAGAAAGTCACACATTCTAGAAGAAAATAAATTGTGAGGATAATCTGACCATTTGATAAGCAGTTTTCACTCTGACATCCATTAAGAGTTATATACATCGACATACAGAACTGAATAATGGTAGACATTCAAGGACTTACAAACACAACTGGGTTTCTTAGCCGACCACTGGTTGTTCTTCTGACAGGTGATGTTCTTCTTCCCCACCAGCTCAAAAGCTGGCAGACACTCAAAGTACAGCCTGTCGCCATGACGAAAGCCTGCTCCCTCCCTTTTACCATAAGCCGGGATCCCGGGATCTCCACAGCTGCCCTGGTCAATTTCTGTGCAGACAGGAGTGCACATGTTCAAACGGGCATGTTTTGACAATTCATTACAGTATGACTGATATCATATTGTCATGTTGATGCTAATTGTAATGTTGTGTCTGCATTGTAAGTCGCTTTGGATACAATTATGTGCTAAATGCATACACATAATAACATCAAAAATAAACAGGAACATGTTATATGGCATGGCTTTTATAATTCCCCGATTCTTTGTGTGCTAAGGGAACTGTTTCCTAAAAATCAGAAATCATGTTAACAGCATTTAATTAAAAACAATAGAGATAACTTTTCTATTACTTTGTGATGCACTGTGATTTGAATATTAACTTCAATGTATGGATCTTGGCATTCTGACCAGTTTAATTGTTTATTTTTGAGACCTTCCCATCTTTATTTAAGTATATCATGCCTTACTGTGTGAGAAACCTTCTTCTCTTGAAAGCTGATGAAGTGCTTTTTTTAAATTTAACACAAACAAAGCAGACATACTCTATTGAACCATCGGAACAGGGAACACACAGAGCGAATAAGTTCATTCATCCAAAAAATAATGGCAGAGCCTAATATGATTTTAAATCGCACCAGAGGTGAGAATATGTACAATTCCATCCCCAGCCCTAATGATTATTATAATTTACAACACATATTTAGAGCTAGCTTCTGTTTGGATGTATGGTTGTCCAAAGGCAGCCCTTATTACAACACAACCCTTTGATCTTATGTGGAACTCACCTTTATGCGGAATGTCTTAAAACATCTATAATTTACCACAAAAACAAAACAAAACAAAACTCAAACTGTAGACATTGGAAAAATAAAATGCAGAAAATCACATACACAAAGAAGCACTACATTGCATCTTAAATGAAATATGTCTGCCTCAATCAAAAAAACAAATATGGAAGTCCATCGATATAGCACATGCTGTCCTAATAAACTTTACATATGCATCATTCCACATCATAGAAACTATTTCATGCATTAACAATAACCTACAGACTTTATATAAAAGTGCAATACTGAAGAATAAAGCAAAAGCAAAAAGTAACAGCTAATCCTCCCTGTGAACACAAAAGGACGTGTATGGTAGCCACTTAATCAAGCAGTTCGTATTTAATGGATGATGACACGATACAACATATTCAGCTTTCTGTAATGAGCTCTTTGTTCTCAGGACTCTGAATGGAAGTGAACTCCAGGAACTCCTGGCTTTGATTACCACCCTGTGATTGCAAGCCTTTACAAACATGCCAAGTTGCAGTTTGCATTCATGCTTGTCTACACTTAAAAACTATTAACTAAGGACTGTGAAGGAATGTCCTTAGTATGTTCTTCTTTAGTATTCTCTTTCGAATTCTGGTCATTCCTATCTATTGTGTCTCATGTTTCACCTGTGTACTGACGATCCATGTTTTTTTGTCATCGTGGTCAATTCTTATTCTCCCACTAGTTTTTATCTGGTTTTCCTTCATTCATGAGTTTGTTTTTTTAGGTTTTTGCCCTTTTTCTTTGTTCTGTAATCTAACTAAATCTATGTTTTATTCACAACTGCTGCCTGTAATCTTCTTCTTTTTAGCCGGAATTCTAATCAAAAGTTTCATGTCAACATAAAGGAATTACTTGATCATTTAACTATTCATTGTTTCATCAGAAATATAAAATACATTCTAGTAATTTGGCTAAAAAACCTTATGGAGTCACAGTTGTGAAGCTGTTGCACTGTAAAAAAAATCAGAAAACTCAAACAGAAAACATTATTTCTACAGCCAGCATGGCATCATAAACACGAAAAGGATATGATTGTGTGTCCATAATTTTAGATTTAATTGATTGATGCATATTTTTGCAGAGAGATGCAAATAGATATTATTTTAATGTAGCATCCTCTGGGTCAGTATAAAATACCAAACTGGGTACATTTACAGTACTGTAAACCTGCTGACCTTTCTCCTGATCTTGTTAGCGGGTTCAACATCTCCAAATAGGCTGAAAATTACACTGCTTATGTGTATCAACACACATGTGTGAGTAAGGGACAGTATGTGTGCTGGTATTACTGCTTTTGCAACCATACTTGATGATGAGGCCTGAAATACAAGTAAATGAGAACGCAAATTAGATTTTGCACCAATCTGGGAGGTGAAGTGTTTCAAAGTGTTTCTTCCCCTTCATTAAGTAGAACTCATTGTTTTAATTACACTTTGGTTCAGCATGCTGCTCCACTTTCTCTGTTATTTTTTACTGATGATAACTCAGCGTCTGTGGGCTAGGGAGAAGACTTGCTGTGCAGAGAGTTGATCATTAGACTTGAGCGAAAGAAGCGTCCTGTTAAACAGCTCACAATCACATCAAGCGGAACACATCAATGGAAACTGTTGTTTGCTCACTCTTACACATATGAGTTTAATACACATAAAAGTGTTTGTTTAAGCACCAGTGCACACACACCTAAAGAGAAGCATGAAACTTGCTCTATTTATATACACAGAGATATACTAGGATTAGATAAAAGGGCAAACACAGATGAGTAAATGGCTCATCGACTGCACCACACATGATGCAAGTTATTCATTTGAACACATAAATGTGCATTCACGCTCAGTTATTGATTTCTACTTGCTAAAAAGAAGTGAGAACTACATTCAATTTTTAGAAAAAATAATCTGTTATTATCCGAGAGATTAGGGACGATTTATTACATGTAACTGCAGCTATTCCTGTAATATGATCACATTTTCTATATACATTTCTAAGACAAAAACATGAAAAAAAATAATAGATATATCTTTGATCGACGGCATATGTGTTTGACTCAGTATGATGAATGTTGGAAATAAATGGAAATTAGTATGGATATGTTAATTAGCCTCTACTTGGCCATTTGTTATTTGGTTATTTTGGTCATTCCACAATCGACTCCTTGATTCTGAACTCATTCATGAAGTTGTTTGAGTGAAGCTCGATAATGAATAGGATCTTAACCTCAGTATATCTAAAGCAGTCTTACCTTCATAGGATACCTTGAAACCGAGGGAGCCACTGGTGTCATCTGTTTTGAAGTTGAGCCACATCTGGTGACTGGTGCTAACTACCAGGTCTGGTGTGGTGGTACCAGACAGGCTACGAAACAGAGCACAATAACAAATTGTTTATCAAGTTTTGTTTGTGTAGTCATCACTGAGCAAAATCCATCTTTAAAACGTATTAAAAAAAACTCAAACCATAAACCAAAACAATTTTAAATGAAAGTATTAAATGCAAAATAGCGGGAGACAAGAGAATTAAAAATGTGAACAAAATCAGTCAATGCAACAGTATTTATTTAATCTTATTTCAATAACATTTTCACCCTGCCTTTATTTGGAAGTATCTAACTGCAAAGTAAGTCATTAAGAGCACAGATTTTATAGATGGAAATACTAAGTCTTCTAAGAGTTGACCTTTCTGGGAGTTGGGTTCATGTTTTGTCATTTGTTGCACCATTTTTAGTGATTTTTCTCTTTTATTTTTAGTTTCTGTCACAACATTTTGGATGAGAGAAAATATATTTAATGGGCAATCAATCACTGTGTTATTGTTAAACTTGAAACTTCTTAAAGAAAATTAAATCTCTTATAAATTCATTTATGTTGCTCCAACTCCACAGGATTTCTCCTGTAGGTAAAAAAAGATGATGGCACCTTTCTTTGTGTGCCTATCAGCCAGAACATGTATGACCAAGTCGCAGTTATACGCCTCTGATCTTAAGTTACAGCAAAAATTTCTCCACTCACTGCACATGGTTGCCTGTTTCACTTATCCATAAAAATATAGCCCTTGGTTTAAACAACACTGACAGGTACAGCCTAATGTATGCTCTAAAGTTGCTTGTGTCCATAAGCGCGCGAACTGAATTTTACCATTGACTTTCATAAAATACAGGATTTCTTGAGAGAAAATCTTTATTTTAACTCAACAGTTTTAGTTATTGCCAATGGTTCTGGTGCATAAATATTATTGTGCTGACTGTGATTCAAAATGTAGAAATGCATTGGAAACAACATTTTTTATTTATTTATCTTTTTTACACAAGCAAAGCATTTCTTCACATTTACCCACCACCTCCTACTGACTCCTGCAATGGTTAAAGCAGTGCTGCGTGAAAATCGATCCATAAAAACTTTATGATGATAGTAAATTTCAGCACAATTAAAAATAACATCCACTGAATTGTTATAGAGCATCTGCTGGCACAACCTCTATTAGAACGTATCGATATGCAGTATGAAATGCCGTGTCACATGACATTGTTCTCTATTTCGAAAAGGATCATGATGGACAATGTGATGCAACATCTATTTTTCATGCATGACTACGTCGGATGGTGATGAAATGAAAGCGAAACTGTGCCAGTGAGAAGTAATGGCTGGGGGAGAAGAAGGGGGATGTCAGGAAAGCACAGGAGGTGCAATGGCAAACTTTCCAACACAGGATAAAAGGGAAGGGGAAAAAAAGGTGGAATCTGGTTTCATGGAACGTGAATGACAAAAAATGAAAATGACTTCTAACCAATAGAGGTGGGAGAACAAAGAAAAGATTAAAGTCCAGAAAGGAAGAAGGTCAAAGAGGAGGCACTCACACGTGAAAGATGGTTTTCTGGTCTCCTACCAGCTCGCCATCTCCTACTGTTAGGGTGTCATAGCCTCTCTCCAAGTCAAAATCCTCAAATGTCAACTTGATCACCTAGACGACAGCAGGGACATCACCAAGACAACAGTCAATGACAGATGATTAAATTAACCTGAAACCTTGTGCAGAGCAGAGACCTCTTTCCATCTGCGCTTTCCTTCTTCCCTCTGCCCATCAATCCATCATTCTTGATTCTCATTTAAATATTTCCCTGACACCTTTCAGTTCACACCAGTGTAACATCTGTGTTTATTGTATGCAGAACTATATATGATCTGGCTTATTTCCCTTTGTTCCTGTATATATTGTTATTCTTCACAATTCTTTGGCATATTTAATTCAAATAACAACTACTAAATTATATGTACAAATAGGCAGCTTGGAATGCACAACCAGTGCAGACGTATGCTGGTATACTGGTGTATTTAATAGTACTTTTTAGCTTATATCAGTCTTTCCCTCCAATCAAATATCTGATTGCCAGATGGTCTGTTTGACCAAGGTTTTTTGCTCAGAAAACAGTCAAATGCCTTTAGGCTTAATTTTTGCCTGACTTGGAAACTTGAAGCAAATCAGATATTCGATTTTAGGATTTTGTTAAGGTGAATATATGTGCCAAAAAATCTGTAGAGAAGTAAAAATGAGATTATGCATTACATTGGAACATTAAAACTAAAAACTGATCAGTTTTAGGAGGAGATTGACAAGCAAAACAGCTGTTATTACATCCTAATAAACTCCAATAATTATGCAAAGACAGACAAACAAACAAGGTTTGGCCGCCACAGAGTAAAACATTAGGACTAAACAGAATCATACCAAAGACTATGAAATTACATAAAAAGTGGAAACACAACTGTCTTTGTCTCCCTTCTTTAAATTGGCTGGCACTCATTTTCACCATATTCTTAATGTTTTCAGAGGGCTGAGAGAGCAAGGCCTAATGAAAAAGCTTATATAAATGCAAATTGCATTCTGTCCTATGTTAAACCTTGTGCCTAATGAAAATTGCCAAGGTGGAGAGAAAAGATTGATGATGTGTAGCCAAAATAGGTCAGATTGCTCGATAAATAGAGTTTCATACCGCAAACTCATCTCCCATCTGCCAGCTAACAGGTGAAGTACGAAAGTACAGATTGAACACAACACACACACACATAACAAAGGAAATGAAAAACAGGAAGGCAACAATATTGTTGGGTAGTTGTGAGCTTTCCCCCTTGTTGGCAGGTGATATAGATTCATAACACACTTCAATTTGATGAACCATGACCAATGATTTTTGTCACTGTCATCAGCACCTCTGTGATTTTGGTTTGAGCGCCTATGGGGACTCTCCCAAAAGAAACCTTACACATATACAGTATGTAAATTATCATTCCCAGGTACTTTGCTTTCACTTTGCAGTCTCTTTTTGTTCATGGAGTTTATGCAATTTCAGTCATTTCAGATAGAGGGCTGAAATTTGCTGTCTGAGAAAACAGTTCTTTTAAAGTGACTGTGAATTCCATAGTGTCCCAAATGTGAGGACATCCAAAGAAAACCTCTATTATTCATGCCATGTGATTGAATTTAAGCCTCCTGGAAAACCACCATGCCACATCTGGATCCCTCTGCGGTGCCGCATCTTGCCTTTATGGACAGGCAGGAACATAAGCCCATTAAATCTGTTAACAGAAAGAACAGCTTCTCTCCATCTTCATTTTAAGCAGGCGCAGCATGAGCCAGCCCAAAATACCAGAGTCTGGTTTTGTAGGCTGCCTGCTGGGTAGGCCCGAATGTATTTAAGTGTATTTGCGTTTGCTTGCAAAGTTTTGTTCTGTGGGTGTGCATGTTTTCACTGACTAGTCTGGCTGACTTACCTCTTACCTCAAACAGCCTGTGTTTCA